TGTGTGTGTGTGTGTGTGTGTGTGTGTGTGTGTGTGTGTGTGTGTGTGTGTGTGTGTGTGTGCGCGTGCGTCAGAGAAATAGCAGTTCCAAGCCTCAAAGCTGGCCCCGCAAACCTTGCGGGCTCACCGGGACAGCAGCTCCTCCTTGAGGCGCCCCCACATCGCGTCCGCAAGCGGCGTGGGCCCCAGGTGCTTCCTGACGCGGCCGTACAGGGCGTCCAGCTTCTTGTCAGCTCCCTCCATGACGGACCTGATGAGGGAGCGCACCTAGGGTGTGAAGCACACGGTCACGGCGTGGGGGGAGAGGGTTAAGCCACGCGTGCCAAAGGGCAGTGTTCGAATTTGGAGGGGAGATATTGTGCGCGCCATGCAGTAACACTGGGTTGAATGCGGTGATGACAAGGGCGGCGTACGCATATGGCGCGTTTCAAGCTGGGCGCGGCAGGCCGGTCAGGCATTCGTGGGCTCGATGAAACGGGCCCGTCTGCGGCTGTCAGCGGCAATGCAGCGGAGCGCAGCCGCCTGCGCCTGCGGCGTGCTCGCCTCGTTGGCGGAGCAATCTTTCTGGAAGGCAACCTCTGGCGGTGAGACCACCTGGAGAGCCAATGGCAAGGCAAGGGGCAGGCAGGGTGAGCGAGACCTTGGCAGGGCACGCTCAGTGACCGCGGCTGTGCGGCTGCTACCAGTTGCTTTTACACATGGTCCCGCCCACCCAACAGAAATGAAGGAACACCGACCAGCGAGGCAGTCGCTCACCTGCAGCAGCTTCTCGAGCTTTTCACCAAACTCTAGCAGCCGCCACAGCTTGCCCCACTCCAGCTGGTCCTGTGAGATGGTGGTGGTGGTGGCGGTGGTGGTGCTGGTGAGGGTGGTGTTTGTCGTGGGTGCTCTCGTTTTTGGGGGGAGGCAGCCCGGGGCTGGGGGCAGCATTGAGAGCCTCGGCAGGGCCCACCAGGCACCAAGCAGGCAGGCAGCTGGGGCAAATAATTACTCATGGCTGTAAAAGCGGGTTGTGCAAGGAGGGCGTCAAAGCTGGGATGTAGATTGCCAGAAACCCTCGAGAGCCAAATGGCGCCCACATGGGCCGAACAGGACGCCAACCCTCATCCCTGCACCTGCCGCAAGTCTGCTTGGGCCTTGGACATCCTGCAATCCACACCCTGGGTGTGTCAGAACTTTGCGAGACCCGCCCCGCGGCGCTCACCCGCACATACTGCGCCACTGCGCCCTCCCGCCTCGCGTCTGCCTGCTGCACCGACTCGCGCAGCGCGGGCGCCCTGCGCAGCGGCCGTGCAATGTGGGAATGTGACGCAAGGGTGGGTGTTGCGGATCAGCACTGTAGACAGTTGAGCAAGCTGAACCCAAGTAGTGAGAGCTGGTCAAACTGCAACCCTTTGCATAAAGGTGCTGTTGCGTCATGCCTTTGTCACCATGCACCTTTGCCGACCCCACACCCTCATACAACGCGTCCACGCGCGACCTGCACATAGCACTGGGCTCATTGCTGGCAGCGCCCTGCTGCTCACGTGCCCTGCAGTGGCGCCAGCTCGTCCGCAAAGTGGCCGTAGTTCTCCAGGCGCAGCCGGTCAGCGTACTTGGCATCGCCCGCGGCCTGGCGCTCCAGGCAAGCAAACACGCGCCCTGCCAGCGCTGAGTAGGCGCTGTCGACCTCTGCGCTCCGTGGTTGCGTTTTGCAAGCGCAGCGTGTGTGGTGTATGTGTATGTGTATGTGTGTGTATGTGTGTGTGTGTTTGTATGTGCATGTGTGTGTGTGTGCGCGTGGAAGTGTGTGTGCGTGTGTGTATTTGTGTGCGGG